AGCACGTGTAATGTTTTGAAAATGATTCAGAATTCGAGAAATGAAATTTTTCAGCACTCTTTATTTTACGTAGCTGATTAATTTAAAAACAAATATATTTTTATTTATTTTTTATCTTTAAGTAGAATGTAATTTGGGAAGCATCTATAAATGTATGTAGATAATCGTCTAAAGAAAATAAAAATGTTTGTGGCGACATCTTTTAGTGAATTTGTTGAATCAAAGCTTTTCGAAAGCTAAAAGCTTAAATTTCAACTTTTCATTATATCAGTATCTAAAACAGTCTGGAAAATATAGAAAAAGATGTTTACAAAAGATATTTTCAAAAATCGATTGAATTATTAAAACAAAATAGTAAAAACACAAAAACGATAGTTTATTTCAAAATATTTATTCAATATTTAATACCTATGGAAGAGCTGCGACAATATTACCTAACTTAAGTCTTACTTTTAAAAAGATCCTAAATGATTTAGCTCAAAAATACTTATAAATATTGATGTAATATCCTAAATTGAGTTTTAAAAAATGCTTCTTTTTCTCTCAAATTCAAGATTTACATTTGCTCATGATCACTTGTTGCGATTTCGAGGCGTTTATATCACTTTCACTTTTGCAATCTTCATTGTCATGTTTTACCTCAAGATCGATGATACCTGTTGCTCTTTCTTCACAAGGTTCTACTTCTGCTAACAGTGAAAATAAATCTTCCTCCTTGATTTTTTCTATTGAAAGGGATGAATTCATTGGATTTATGTCATCAATGAGATCTAATTTAATTTTTAAATCATTTGAAGACTCGACTTTTTCATCTCCAACTTGATTCAAATAAATGACCATTTCATCAGGAATAACAAGTTCATCGCAATTTTCTATTTTCTCATTAGTTTTAAGTACATCTAGAACAACTGTTTCATTCGGATGTGGTTTAGATGGTGATGCTGCTTCTGTTTCAACTCGTTCATTCTTTTTTGAAGACGTCATCATCATTTCAAGTGATTTTGTAGGAGTTGCTGAACGGGGACGTGTTGGATCTTGTTGTCTATGGAAGGTTTTGTCGTGTATTCTTGAATCATTTGAAATAGGCTCGCTCATTCTTCGATCAGTTGTTGATGTCGGCGTTTGACTAAGTGTATTGAATGTCTGATTTTGATGGAGTTCGTTGTAGTTGTACAGAAAATAGCCGTGATTATTGTTTGGATTACTTTGAAGATTATGAGGATATTGAATGTGTTGATGATAATTTGGATTGTAGGGATGATTAGCTCCTGTTGAATGTCTCTGTAGGCGGCCAATATGCGATGAAATAAGTTGGGAAGACGGCTGTCCATAGTTAGGAGAATCAAAAGTTGACATTTGACTTGAACGACGTGAACTTCCAGCAGAAATAGGGTCGTAAAATGATGATGGATCATAATTAATGTAGCTGGCGTTGCTGGCTCGAAGCGTAGACATAGATGATACATGAGACTGTTGACTATTTCTTCTGCTAACATCACATGATTTCATGCTATAATATGAACTACTTGTAGTAGAATTATTGCTATCACGTCTCATTTGTTGATTGATCTGTTGATTGTATTGTGTTTGATAATTGCAAAGGGAAGTTCCCATATTTAAATAGTTTTGGCCAAGTTCAAGCAATTTCGGTGATGTATCTCGAGCATAATTTTGAGGTGGACTTAGTGCACGATTGTCAACTTTGAGATCAGTGATACGACGATTCAACTCTCCAATTCCATAATTGCTGCGTGGTGAACTGGAAATGTATTCACTAGGATTGGGGGATGAAGGTTGATAGAATCCTCCTTTATTATTGAGACGAGATCGCAGACGACCACGTTGAGTATGATGTTCTACGGGGGCCATCACTCCCACACCTCCAACGTTTGAATTCTGATCAAAATCAATCATAGCTCGAAGTACCATGGGGAGCTCTGACGCCTAAAATTAAAATAATTAGACAAAGAACAACAATTAGAACATTCTTCAAACTTCTTCTTTCAAAAAGATATAAAGGATGAAATGGAATTCTTACATTTTTTCTTAAGAGAGAAAGATTCTTATTGCAAAATAAAAAAAAATAGTTTTTCTTCTATCTTTTATAACATATTAAATAATAAATTAAGATGTTTTGATGTCATTTTTTACTTTTTATTATTTTTTCACAATTTTCATAGAAAAGTGTGATTGGAAAGCGCATATTATGTTGTGAACTTCTTTAAATATAATTTCCTTACCTCTGCAGTATCTTCTTCATCATAAGGCCATTGAGTGTCAACAGTTGATGAAACAATGCCTATTTGAGTATTGTTAGCATTGCTTATGTTACTATTACTCGATGGCATATAATCGTAGTCATCGTTTGCTTCAGAGCTCATATGCGGAACACCTAAGGGACTATTGTTCATCTGATAGCCAGGCGAATTCACATCTGATTCCGATTTTATGCTTGGACTCATAAGACTAGCATTTTTAATACTATAGCTGTCGTCATTTGTTGCTGGACTTCCCATCCCGTTTGACCCATTCCCATCTTCACCACTACCACTGTCGCCGATTCCCTTATGCTTGCGTTTTGCATAAAAGTCGGCGCCATGTACAGTCTTTACATGCTTTCGTAATGAACTGGGATCTGTATAGCGTTTTGTACATCCAGGAGCTTTGCACACGTACGGTTTCTGAATGAATTACAAATGCATCAGTTTCTTTATCAATCTGAATTTATGAAGTAAATCATTTAAATCATTTCATTACCTCATTACTGTGAGTTCGATTTTGATGTTTTGCACGATCGGAAGCATTGCTAAAAGCTTTACTACATCCTGGGAACTCGCAAGTGTATGGCTTTTCTCCAGTATGCGATCGAAGATGGGTTTTTAGATTCTCCAAACGTGAGTATGCTTTATGACAACCTTCAAACTAAAACAGAAGGAAATAAAAATAAACATTAACTAAAATAAGAAAAATTGATAATACGTACCGTGCATTTGTGAGGTTTTTCACCAGTGTGTCGTCTCATATGAACGACAAGCATATATTGAGCTTTGAAGGGCTTTTCATCTCTTGAACACGTGTCCCATCGACATACAAATGCTTTTTTGTTGCCATGTATATGATCAGTATTAATATGACGAACAAGCTCATCTTGAGTAAGAAATTCGAGCCCACAGCCTCTCCAATGACAATTTGTTTCGAAGAAGATACCACCATCATCTTTTGCATCAGTGGTATCAGCTAAAACAGTTTCGCTACTAGTACTGCTGTTATTATTATTATTTGATCTTAGACTATTGTTATGATTTTTGGCAATCATGGCATCTTTATTTCTGTTGCTGATATTTTTACTTATATGACTTCCATTTTGCTTCAACTGATTAATGTTAAATTCATTTTGATTACTTATGTTGGTTGTTGTAGATAGTTTTCCATTTTGAATGATATTATCGTCGTTATTCTCAGTCTGAGTTTCATATTTTATTTTCATTCTTCTTATATGTTGAGTTTGAGAAGGACTATCAGCTTCAGCAGACGTAACTACGGGTACATTATTTTCTTTCTTTTTGCCTACACCTTTTACATTTTGAGCATTCTGTTGCTTTTGTTGTGCTTCTTGGATATATGAGTCCTAAGTGTACAAAAGATATTTAAATAAAAATGGATGAATATTTTTAAAAGAAGATCTAAACATTATTACCGATTTTAAAGATTGCATAGAAGCATCAATTTGTATTAAAGATGATGCCATTGCTTGATGGTGTGCAAATGAAAGCATAGAGTTTGTTGGTGACATATAGTGGCCTGAGAGTGATGGCAAAAGTTCTCCACTGATTAAAAAGTGTTGCAATGAGGTCGGAAGTGAAGATATCGACATCGGAGTTCCAATTGAAGTGTTTGTCATACTTGCTGTTGTATTCAAAGCTGTTGCTCCCAAATGTCCGAAAGAACCACTAGCGTTACTAGTTTTAGATCCATACAGAGAAGTTGGAGAGTAACGAATCATTGAACTTACATCCATGAGTTCAGAATATGGAGATGACGACAATGTTCTTTTACGAGTAAACCCTCCAATTGGATCAGGTTTAAATGATGGAACTTGCACCATTCCATTGCTTTTATCAGTTTTTGGACGTTCCATGTTAATATCGTTACTCGAAAAACTATTTAAGGTATATGGCACACCTAAGGCACTTTGATGAGTGAAATTTTCTGTTGAAGAATTACCAACATATCATAAAAAATAAAATATGGACCTTTATTTATATTATAAATTTTACCATGTATGGAGGATTGAGGACTTGTTGCATTGTGAAGAGAATGAAGAAGCTGCATGTAAGGAATTCTGTAAGCTGGGTGTATATCAGATGGATGTGGATTTGAAACATTGTTTTGGCTGTTTCCTGGAGATAATGGCAAAACAGGAACCAAAGCTGCACGAGATGGATTTATTAGTTCTGTGAATAATGATGATCTGAAAAAAACAAATCAAAAAATTAGCAATATAGAAGAATGCTTCAAAAGAAATTTCAAATAAATCAAACATTAAATTTAAATGTTATCTTTAAATTATCTAAATAAATCTGAAACTTTTAGCGCTAAGTTAAGTGAAGGAGTCTTTTAATGACCACTAACAATAACTATTTATTTTCTGAAATAATTGTTGTTCATTGATAGATATGAGATCTTAAAAAAATATTTAATTAAATTTCTAATTAAGTTATAGTTTTTTTCAAGAAGTATTTAGTATTTAGTATTATAGTAACTATTTAACAATTTTTTATAAAACCACTTNAGTACAAGTTCTCAAAAAAAAAGCTCATGAATAAGGAAATTAGATAATAGGTAATTCTTTTATTTATTAATAGTTTAGTCTCAATATTTTAGTAGATATTTATTCTATCAAGAAAAAATTAGATATATGTACCTACATCCTTAATACTTCTAAGTAGGTTTCACGCTTTATGGTATTTAAAAATGATGTACAAAACATTTTGAAACTTCTCCACATTTAGTTAAAAAACTAATAAACCGTCGGAATGATAACAATGATTCACTATTAGTTCACTATTAGATATCAGAGTAAATGTCGAATCAGTTTTACATAGACTGATGAAACTTTTATTTTCAGGATTTCAAACTTTCCATAAAAGAACTTTGAAGGTAAGGTTTTTACTCAGAACTTAAGCTTCCTGTTGGCTCTCCTACTTAAGTTCTTATAACATACCCTTCAAGTCTACTACAACCTTAATATTTACTCATAGATCATTCTGCTACCGTGTGATGTGGTATGATTAAGAAATTTGTTCAATAATCAAAAAAAAGAGAAAATATTTCAGAAAAAATAAAAGATACATTTTGGAATATAGTTTAACTCATCTTAAAGCCTTAATGCTCTCCAAATATGAAAGGTACGAAATGAAATTTTAGTTCGTGTAAAAACAACAAACGTTTGAAAAAGAGAGACAAGAAAAAAAGAAGTGAAAAAGGAAAATATCACAAGACATTTATTTTAAACAAAGAAACAGAGATATTACTGCTCTGAAGAAAAAAAAAAGATGCAATAACTGCAGTCTGCAACTACAGGGTCACAAGTTAATTTAGGGAAAATCGTAAAAGTCGCTACAAAAAGAAATAAAAAGTAACAAATGAAATGGAAGGAAAAAGAGCTTAAATAAAATAAATATGTACACAAATATATTTTTATCTTTTAATCTATGTAAGCTTATATAAATACGTAAATATTTCACATATGTGTACTTCATGTGTGCATGTATTAGATTTACAGATGTTGCAGATTTTCTTATTTGCAATATCTGGAAGAAAGACAAGAAAAGACAAACTGATGATTTAATAAACTGAAAATTCCTAATTACTTTGTTCATATTGGCCATTTGAGTGTCAGACATACATAACTGAAAGCTCTACTAAAAATTTAGTTTTGAAATATTGCTCAAAAAATCAAGGAGATATTGAATCTTCCAATTAACTCTTTGTTTTCTAGTTCAAGCTTATTTGATTTCATTAAATTAAATTATTTTTCACATAGAAGAAAAGAAAAACGAAGAAATAATATTTTGCATTCTGAAAGTTTCCATTATTATTTGTACCTTACATACAAACTTTACTATAATATGTAAGGATTTCCTGCATATAAAAAGCTTCTTTTATTCGTCAGTTTAATTCATATATTATTGTTAATATCTTAAAAAGGAGTACACTTTTTTTTTAAATATTGAAATGATTGTTCAAATCTAAAGGAAGTTATAGCATTTTATCCTAAAGCCTAAACTAAAAGGTCGATTCAAACTTTCTTACATTTTAGAGACTAATATTTATCA